CTTCCTTCCTTCCTTCCTTTCTTTCTTTCTCTCTCTCTCTCTCTCTCTCTCTCTCTCTCTTTCTCTCTTTCTCTCTTTCTCTCTTTCTCTTTGTTTTTTGGCTAATATCCACTTATTAGTGAGTACATACCATGCATGTCCTTTTGGGTCTGAGTTACCTTACTCAGGATGATATTTTCTAGTTCTATCCATTTGCCTGCCAAACTCAGGATGACCTTGTTCTTAATAATTGAGTAGTATCCCATTATGTAAATAAACTACATTTTTTGTATCCATTCTTCTGTCATGGAACATCTGGGTTGTTTCCAGCTTCTGGCTATCACAAATAAGGCCACTATGAACATAGTAGAATACATGGTCCTGTGGCATGGTGGGGCATCTTCGATATATTCCAAAGAATGGTATTGCTGACTCTTCAGGTATATCTATTTCCAATTTTCTGAGGAACCTCCAGATTGACATTGTGAGTTTTCTGGTGAAGTATGAGTTCTAAGTCAGGAGCTGTTAATAGCAGCTGGTTACATAAAGGTATCTTTAACATTCTGATTTTATTCATATCAAGAATTGGAAAATTTCACTTAACATACATAAATATTTAGAGATTTCATTAAAAACAAAAATCAGGTTCATTCATTTACTTGTATGACTACCAATATCTGAGTTGATCTCATCTGTTAAGAGACCAGCATGCAGACCTTTGGTATAGCACATATGCTCAGAGGGCTCTGTCACGTATACAGAGCTCACTGTGTTTGCTATTTGTTACTATTCCTGAAAATTGTGTCCCTGGAGTTTCCTTTCCTGATTTCCTGATTATTAAAATGGTGGTCGTTTTGCCCTTGATTAAAAAAAAAAAGGAAACGATAACTTTCCTGTTTCTGTCTGAATTGCATTAATACCAGTGTGGGCACTCTAGAGTCTCCTTGTGATTGCCACTGCATTATTCAGAACTCACTACCATGAGTCCCTGCTTGGCTCTTTCAAAGATGGTGTCTATGTCTGTGTATGCCTATTGATTAGCCACCCAAGCAGATTCCTGTCCTCAGCTCTGCATCATGAGTCAAGGAACACTAATGGTGAGGGACATGCCTCCCAGACTGTAATATACCTTGAAAACTTATATTCACATGTAACAGGACTCAAAAGTACTAAGATTATAGTTGTTTCAATGCAATATTTATACATTAAAAAGATATGGAAAAATAACAAACATGTCTCGATGTCTCCACAAAAAGATAAATACAATTAAAAGTAGGAATTGTTTTTACTTAAAGGTAAATCACTTACTAGATATATAACTTTGATCAGGAGAACTGACCATAGAAGGAAAATGGAAATATTTGTTTCATAGCATTGGCCACAGTGGGCATTATGTATGGCGTAGGATTTGAAAAAAAAAAAAACCTAGTTTAAAAAACTGCAATTATTTATCATCATCTTCATCATCATCATCTTCATCTTCATCATCTTCTTCTTCTTCATCATCATCATCATCATCACATTCTATGCCTGCTATACAGAGAGAGGGACATCCTAACCATATTTGCATTTCAGAACTGGGCTATGAGACACCTTAACTCAGTGGAAGGCACCTTTATTGATATGTTTGAATACTGAGCCACGGAATTAAAGAAGCTATATCCATCAATATCTATTTATCTATCTATCTATCTATCTATCTATCTATCTATCTATCGCCCTATATCTATTGCCTATGTACCTACCTCCCTGTGCATCTATCTAGATCACGTATGATTTTAGGTAAAATAATTCAAGGCAACTATCCAAATGAATTGGTAAAATCATACAACTTTAAATGTGTATATTTATTTATATCTCCCCATGAACTAAACTATGTGTGATCACAGTGATACGAAAATTAATCAAATTTCATTCACTGTGCTTGTTGATTTTACCCTTTTCCTAGAATGTGTGTCAGTTTTAGCTGTTGAATTCGCATTCTTCTTTTTTTTATGGTGCCTGTTTATTTCACAGTGCACACTCTTACCTTTCATGACACCTAGAGCAAGCAGAGAGCACAGCATGCCTTGGAGAGCGTATGAAAATCACTTCATGTTTGTATAATTATCCCACTCATATTAAAAACTACAAAATGGCCTCTCTTCTACTTGCTCACCTATAGCACAATTTTCGTTGAAAACTTTGCAGTATCTGTTAGCTACTGGTGCAAAAATATATTTCGCAAAACCCTCAGAGGAACAAAGTCCTGAAAATAAGATTAATAAACTAGGTACAATTTTGAAGAGACCAGACTTGCTTTCCAAAACAAATGAGCCGTGCATTCACCATCTTCTTCCTGTGACATAATGAAGGTACAAACTGCCAGCAGACATGAAAGATTACAGCCACAGTATCCAAACAATGACAGAGTCTCTAAGCAAGAACTGTAGAGAGGTATGCTTTCAATCCCAAGAGACCTGGGGAAGTCCTGGGAAGCAGGTTCTCCCTCACGGACCTCCAGGAACAGTCAGTAAACTCATTAATATAAGTATTCCAGAGAGCCAAGCTTTCCTGGAAAAAAAAAAAAATTAGTGTGAGTAGCCAGAACTCTGCAATTTCAGCTTTAAAAATACCCAGTATTGTTGAGGTTGCTGTTTGCTTGGGAGCAAAAGAAAGTCTATCTTGATGTTTGCCTCTGCTTTTACATTGAAATAGAAACTATAGTAAAATTCTTCCCTGCAGATACTGCAAAGGATGGGAGGTTTGTATTCCTCCAAATTATTTTTTTGATCCTTCCAATAACAAAGTTTTAGGGAGTGCTGCATTCTGTCCTCTCCTATCTAGTCTGTCTTAGATAAAGGACAGGCAAAGGATGGCTCTGCTTCCTTCAGGTAGTATCAGAGTTATGCCTCCCTTTCTATTTCAGTGCTTCATTTGCCTAATTGTCCTGTGATCCTGGCAAGGAACATTCCCTGCAGGGCTCTGCTGACTGCAGAGACCCTACCTGACACTGGAGTTGATGTGTCAGCACTTTAGCTTGGAATGAATGAAAAATCAATCAGTTTGATGGCATTGGAGTGTCATGCACAGTTCTAATCTAGTTTGCCCAAATTTTCAACTCTTCACCATAGACCCCAGCAGTGTTTACAATGGTAAGCGAATCTGTAGCAAATTCACTGCTTCTGCTTGATTTTTTGTATCCTCTTTTCTGTCTAGAACAAGCAAATCTAACCCACTTAGGAAGCCACATGTGCAATGAACAATGATGTCAAGGCTCATGCAAATACTCCTTATTTCCTCTGGTCTAAAATTCAGTTCCCAAGGAGGCTGGCTGAATAAATATTCAGAAAAAAATAAGGTGTCAAATTGCTCTTTTGTTAACTTATACTCCCAACTCAGGGGTTAATGTATTAAGACAGTATTTGCCCCCTTACAAAAGCTCTGTTTGACTCTTTAAGTCTTCATGCCAAAGGCACAGTGTTTTACATTTTCAGATTTACAGTTCTGCAAAGACAGAGTTAAACACTGTTTGGACTCTGGCTGCCTCTGAGAAACTGAAATTTTTCAAAGCTCGGCTGTCAGCTCTCAAAAGCTGCTACAGTAACTTTCTGAACAGAGTGGGTTAAATATTTTTAGAGACCCATGCTACAATGATAAGGCGGTAATAATTTGTGCAGTGCAACACTCGGAAGGGTTCCAAATTTCTCAAGCCTCTGTGTATGTGATCCCTACAGCAGAGAAGACTCTGAGCTACAAGGATGAGAAATCTACTTTTCCTGGTGCTGATTTCAGTCTGTTGGGCTGACCACCTTTCAGACAGCTACACTCCGGATCAAGACAGAGTTATCCACATCCAAGGTAAGAGAACACAAGTTCTCCAATGAGTATCAGATGAATTTTCAGTTACTTACATTTGTGCTGCTTGATGCTTGTTAATTTCTGGTCTGCTGCACGAACTTTTTCCTTCTCTTTCTGCTAATGAGTAAGCATGCTTCTGATGCACGGATGCTAATACATGGACCTTAGAACTTGGGAACAATCGAAGTTGGACATCTTAAGAACCTCCAACTGCAGTGAGTTGGTGCAGTTACTCCAGGCTGTTCAGTGTGATTGCTTCAAGTAGAGTGGGGTGCATGAAGTTCATTTCAATGCACACTGAAGGGGAGAGCTAAAAATGCAGCGAAACTTAGGCTGTAAGGTCATTCTGTCACAGTAGTTGCCTTAAGATTGAGAAAAACAATGCCAATAAGAAAATTAACAAGCACACTATGGCTGAGAAATAGCAGCTTACCCTGTTCCAATTGCTGTGTAAAGCTTTCGTTCCTATGGACCAGTACACTAGCCCTGCATATTTCTGTTGAGCTCAGCTGATCCTCAGCCAGAGAGCTGTAGCCAGGCTAGCGGCTGCAGTATAATGCAGCTCTTTCGTCAGGCTAAGCTTCTGGTGAGGGACATCCTGCAATAAGAAAGCTGGGAGACTTATGCAATAAGGAAATGCAATCCAAGGAGGAAAAAAATAAAAAAAAATAAAAAAGTCTGTCACCTGCCCTCGGATGCTAAAACATTTAACTAAGGATTACAGAATTTGATGCCTTAAATGTATGAATAATATTAGTAATTTTAGATAAGTTCAACTTGGGGATCAGAGACATTATAAGTTTGATCAAAGACATTAAACATCAAGTTACAACTTCAAGGTCAGAAGTGCAAACTCAGAAAACTACGTTCACTGTTTAAAAGCAAGACGTGTAAAGGTCTTTTGAGAGTGCAAATCTGGTAGAAATATTGTCCTGTAAATGTTTTGGCAGTCGAGTGTGAAATTTCTAATTAATCTGTCTCTGGGTATTTTAGGAACATCTTTTTCAATTTTGTTTGCTTCCAGCAGTTTTATTTCTTCACTGTTGAAGCATGGAAAGAAATTATATAATTGTAAATTTTCTTAAGAAAGCTGCTAGCTCAGCTTTTTCCCTAATGTGTATATTAGAACCAAAGCTGCTTCCCAAGGTTTTAATATATTTACATGCTGTGGTTACCGATGAAGAATAATAAATATTCTTTTAACTTCTAGTCAGAGGATTCAATTCAATTAAATGGCAATACTGAATCATTAGTAATAGCAACTTCAAATCTAATATAAAATAGTTTTTATGTAACTGTGCTTTTAACTTACAAGATCTACTCAAGTTATAGTAGAAATCATGTGATCCAGTCAGTCTCTGTGAAACCCAATTAGTGAAAACATTATTTTAAAGAAAATACCGACATTTACAAACTTATTCATGTTAGAGTAAAGTTATTTGAACAAGAAAAACTCCTGTAGCCCAGCCCTCAAAATCCCATGTGTCCTATTGAGATCCAGTTAGAAGGGACTGTAGCCTGAGGTATCCTCGTTATTCAAATGATTTCATACACTGTTGGTTGGATTCTTTCCAAATGCCTTGATCATCCACTTCATTTCAATTGTAAATTCATATTCTTGGAAAGTGTAGGCTTCCCTGGAAGAGTTACTTCAGGCCTTCAGGTGACTCAGCTACCAAGCCTATATTTGTTAGTAGAAGCTGGTACAGAAACGCGGTTAAGTCAGCATAGTGAGGTTCTTCTCATAAATCAAAACTTATTCTAAAGCTGTTCAAGGAACCATTCCCACTATCCTCACCCCTTCCCCCTTCCTTACAGCACTGCCATTCACATTGAAGTTTCAAGGCACAGAGTTCTGAGAATCTGTGTCCTGTAGTTTCATTTGTTTATTATAATACAAATATTAACCTCACAGCACAGTATGGAACCAGGAAGACAGGGGGCCTTTGTTACACTCTTGAAATACTAAATTCATTTCTCAAATTTAAACGTTACTTGTAATAACCCAGAGGAATTAAAAAAACTTGCAACGCTCACAAAATGTTTGCACCATTTGCACTTCAGTGATCAAATTGGCTGACTGAAGCACAGATTACTGAATTGTTCTGATAAGCAGTGTGGTTTCAAAGAGGTAAAAAAAAACATTTAGAATTCACATTATTATGAAAATTATAATTTATGTCTTGTATTCATCATTAAAGTTCTATTTTATACTCAAAGTCTTCAAGCAAAACTAAATGATTGAATTAACATTACATATAATCCACATATTCTCTTTAGATACTTTGGTATAAATGCTTGACATTGTATTGATTGAGCGTGAATCCTTGAGCTTCTCGCATGAGGGTTACCTAAGTGCATTTCTGGTAACACCTTTACAACTTTGTTGTCGAATTTTTAGAAATATAGGCATGCAAATGTTTAATCTGGCAAGAAGGGAGGAAAAGAAAGAGGGATGAAGAGAAAGAAAGGAAGAGAGAGAAGAAATGAAGGACAAGAGAGGAAACCCTAACCCTAACCCTAACCCTAACCCTAACCCTAACCCTAACCCTAACCCTAACCCTAGAAGGAAATAAAATCCCAAGCACAGAGCATAGGTCTTGGTTGGTACAATGCACACTGTGCATGCATAAAGACCTGATTCTGAATTCGCCAGTACACACATAAGAAGCTGGGTGTGGTAGCACTTCTGTAAACCCAGCACTGTGGGAGAGAGGGGAATCAAAGACAAAAGGGTTCCTGAACCTCTTTGACTAGCTAGCCTAGCCTAGCCTAGCCAATGAGCTCCAGATTAAATGAGAGTTCCTGACTCAAAACCACAAAAACTCAAACAAAGGATAAAAAACAATATGGAAGGTGAGAGTTCAAGGAGGACAACTGACATCAACCTCTGTCCTCCACTGGCATAACACAAGTGTGCATGCACATGTACACCCTTGCACACATGAATATACCACCCATCATATGTCTACACACAAATATGCATGCAGATGTACACCCTTCCATACATGAATATATGAGATATCACATGTATACACACAAATATGCATGCACATATACACCCTTGCACACATGACTATACCACACATCACATGTATACACACAAGTATGTATGCACATGTACACTCTTGCACACATAAATACACCACACATCACATGTGTAGACATAAGCGGGCATGTGCATGTACACCTGTGCACACATGGATAACCACATATCACATGTGTACACACAATTGTGCATGTGCACCCTTGCACACATAAATATTCTGCACATCACATGTGTACACACAGGTATGCATGCACATGTATACCTTTGAACACATAAATATACCATGCATGTAATAACACAACACATTCACACATACACAAAGAACTACTGATTATACATGAATACGTATTTTAATACAATACTTACTTTTGTCATGACTTATGATTTCTGGTCCCATATTGGATATATTTAATATATTTACTTTTATACATAATTTTAAGGAATATGTTTTCAAGCTTTTGCAAAACTCTAGATTGCTTTTACAAAGACACCAGTTATACTGTCAAAGGATCATCTTCTCCACACACTAACACTACCATTAGGGCAACAGAAGTGATACAGGAGAAGAAAGTAGGACTAAATAAAGGAAAATATGGAGAGAAAAGTAGTTAGTCACAAAAGAGTCCCATCTAGAACAATGTATCTAAATTCACTGAAGTTTTGAATACTTAGCATTTTTAGCCCATAGAATATAGCTTGTGGATATTTCTTGTTTGAAATGAATAACATACACTATTATTTTATGTTATTCTGCCTACTATCAATTAAAACCATGTAGTTTTATACTTTGAGGTACAATTTTTTTTTCAGGTGGCAATAAAATTTCATTGGATAGACATTGCATTTTATGCTCTTTTCCTGGATGATAAAATTAAGAAACTGTGAAATGTGAAACTGTGAAAGAAATCAAATTATTAAAAAATACATGTCAACTACCAAACAAATGGCTAGTTAGTAAAGCCTCTTGTTCTGACCAAAAGTATATGAGAATGAGTTTTGACTCAACTAAAGTACTTACCCAAAATCTTTACAGCATGCTAACTTTTTATTTTACCACATGCTGAATATATTAGCAATTCTTTATTGTTTCATTTCTTTACTTAAAAATATATTAAAAATCTATCGTTTAAATCAAGTCATTTGGAGTATAAACACTATCAAATTCTACGAAATTAAAACACTCAAGTATTACCACAGCAATAGTATCTAGAAATAAAAACAAAATCATTACTCTGGAAATTTTAAAAGCATTGAAAAAATAAGCACAATAACTTAAGACTATTTCACAATTTTTATATGACCATAGTAAAGCACAGTTTGCCACTCTAGAGGCAGTGGGACCCTGGGCGACGGAACTGATGAATGAGACAGACTAAAGCCTCATGCAATACACAACTTTATACAAAGCATCAGACAATTTGTACTCTGTGCAATAAAAGGAGTCACACGAGTACAGAGTATAATCACAAGGGCAAACAGCTTGTGGTAGACAAGCTGCATGAAGCAAAAGCAAGGTTTTTCTCCGAATAGAGGCATATAAACACATAACAATAGCCAATTGTAGTGAATGATATGAAGTAAAGTCACTTCTATCTCCTATACTTTGGAGGGGCACATTTCAAGAACAATTCCTTGTTTTTGAAGAAACTGAGGTCAAAAGACTCATCTTGGTTTGTTGGAATTTTCTCACATGCATTCAGACATCTCCTCACATGACTGTATTCTTGCGCTGTGTTCTCACAGAGTACCATGAGGCACATGCAACATCAGAAACCATTATCCAGTGATCAGTACAAAAGGTAGCCATTTTTACCTAGTTTATGTACACATGTGGACTTCCCTAGATAATGAGTTATTAATCACCACATGTACACACTCTGTGTGGTATATCACTTTATGTTCAAAGTCTGTCCTGTGAGATGTGTTGAACAAAATAAGTCAAACAGAATTC